CGCCATATAGCTGGAATATTGCTGAGTGCGACGTGCAACAACCAACCAACCAAACCAAGACATCACCCATCTACATTTTTTGGATCAAATATCGCGTTTCGCCAAGTCAGCGAGCTCATTGGTTGCCTCTTACAAGCAGAGGTTGCCGAAGACCGATTCCAACCTGGATTTTCCATTTAGGACGCAAAGAATGTAAGGTCTGATTTTAACCGATCATTTGAATAACTCAAAGTAGCATTATGCAATCTAGAGTAATTTTATGTGTGAGTTAGGTTTTTGCTCCAATTTGAACAACATTCAATAGTATCGCGGTTAGGGAAACCCAGAACAGATACCGAGAACGGATACCGAGAAAGATTGTTAGTTTGAGAAAACTAACACAGACCTTCGGCTAGCTGAACAAACTCCATTTTGAAACTCTATCGTCGAGAATAAGATTACATTGTGCTTGATTTCGGAATGTAACCAGCATCGTCTGTGATTTAAGCGGACGCTTTACCTGCGGGGCCACCTTGAAGTGCTCTACATCGCTATGATTACTATCATAGATTGATCTGATTTGAAATGTGTGACGTGTGAGGGAATGAGTTGTGTTTGTGATATATGACAGTTTGTTGAGGAAAGTTTTTTTACATATCAAACTTTAACCATGTTGTATAAATCTTAGTTCATAGTTATGATACGGCTGAACCAAGAATCGTTATCTGGTCGAATCTGAATTCCAGCCAACGACCAGCGAGCGGAAATTCCTTCACCTAAGGGGCGCAACTCTACAACCCAAAATGTGTTTCGAAGAAAGACTTTTAACCATAGACGATATATGAGTGAGTGAGTGAGTTTAGTTTCACGCCGCTTTTAGCAATATTCCAGCAATATCACGACGGGGGACACCAGAAATGGGCTTCACACATTGCGATATATGGAAGAGGGACTGAAACCAAAAGGTTTGTGTCTACAAAGTCATCTATTAGGTACCCGTGAAGGTACGGGTTTGAATTGATTTTCAGCAACCCCTGCTTGTCGTAAGAGGCGACTAATGGGATCGGGTGGTCAGACTCTCTGATTGGGTTGAAACATATCATTGTATACTAATCGCGCAGGTTGATGCTCATGCTGTTGATCACTGGATTGTCTGTTCCAGACTCGATTATTTACAGACCGCCGCCATATAGCTGGAATATTGCGGCGTTAAACAACAGACAAAACAAACAAACAAAAAAACAAAACATCTGTTAGCATCACACCACAATCTACGGAACACGGAAACACAGTATATTTTAAAGTGCAGAAAAAGCTATTATGACGTAGAACGAAGCCCACACACCCTCACGTTATTCCTTTTTCTGAAAATGGAAGGTCATACCAGTAAATGCTTGTAAACTGAAATAAATATATCTAACATGGCCAATGCGTTTTCTCTTAGCCCAAGAAGTATTCGAGATATTTCTTAAATCGGAATCGTTGATGAAGGTCACACACTGTGATGGCTTTATCATCTGTGAACAACGTGTTAACTGATCGCATGTAATTTATGACAAAATAAGCCGTAAACATATTACCCCATTTTCTATAATTACAACTGAAGTGAGCCGAGTAAGTAACCTTTAATGTTATACAACCGTGTGCATTGAAAAACGTGTAACGACTCTGGTTTCATCGGGGCGGTGGGTAGCCTAGAAGCCCATTCTGGTGTCCCCCGCTGTGATATTGCTGGAATATTGCCTAAAGCGGCGTAAAACTAATCTCACTCACTCACTCACTCACTCACTCAGGTTTCATCAGGAAAATGTTGTTTTATTTGCTATTACAGACAACAGAATATTCACTGGCACATTCATGCCTTCGTGATACTTATAAAGTAAAGAAAATTACTTTGCACGATGAATGTGTGTTAGACATAGTTGTCTGATTATCCCACAGTTGTGAGCGTCTTCGTATAGAAGCAAGGCGTGTTATTACTAGCAGAACTTGGTTTTCTACAGGGTGTATTTATACGGGTAATTTGCTATGGTGTTACGGTTCTGTGCTGGGAGGGCTGCTGGTTTGGGGATATTTATGAGAAAAAAGTAACGAAACAGTGGAGTATCGCTTATGATGGGATAATGTCATTGTGGATACTTGATCGACAACTTCGCGTTCCTCTTCGGTATCATCACTGTCATCATCACCACAATCGTAATCGTTATATCGTCGTCATCATCGTTATCCTGATAATTGTTATTTTCATCGACAGCGCTACCATCGTCTTCATTATCAAAATCATCGCCATCATGATCACAAGTGTCGTCATCGTCATCAATCATCATCAAATCATCATCATCATCATCATCACCACCATCATCATCAACATCGTCATCATCAATCATCATCATTACAAACAATGTCGCTACCATCGCCGGCATTAGTACTATCATCGCCACCATCATCACCATTGTTATCACAAACTTAGTACCATAACTAACGGCATCGTCGTTGTAATCCTCTTTCTCATCACTGTAACTATCATCCGATTCGTTTCCTTCACCTCGTCTGTTTACTTCCTCCTCCACTCACTCAGTGCATTGTTTGCTAGATAGTTGGAGGTGATGACAGAAGAACCAACACGCTAACTCATTACCGCCTCATTCCCAACGAAATCGTAACAATTATAGATGGTTAGGTGGCACGGGAATCGTTAGCACGCATGGCTTACTTCCAAAAAACACAGCTACATATTGTGGTAGGAATCCGCCAGCGATGCTCCCTCGAGATCTCCAACTCAGTATCGCAATGTACTTTACTGTATACTCGATGGTTTACAGTTACATGACATCAGTATGGATCCCTAGGTAGATTGCGCTGCGCAAAAATTGCAGCGCAACGCAGCCTACTCAGAAAACCAGACTATCATAACGGTACAACAACGTTATTACTGTGCTTTCGTTCCTCCGACACTCATTTCTTCATATTCTCGTCATTACGGACTCTCGTTTATCAGAACACTTGTGGTTAGGGTGTTCGTTATTTCATCCACTTGTACCCACCAAAATGTTTATACTCGTCAGTGTGGACCCTTGTTGTAACAAACACTTAGAAATACGAATTAATTATGTACTGTAAAATGTAACGCACGTTTCGTGTTACTTTTGTTGTGGTTGTGTTGCATAGACCTTCTTAACGAATTTATCTGTTGAAACTGAAAGTTAACCGTGAACGATGTCCAATGGATTTGTCACACGTGCGATGTGTCAAGAACATAATCAGCACAGGGATTAAAAGCCAATCATGTTATCGGCGAACGTAATACATCACATATTTCCTTTCAATTTCAATGCCAATAATGCATGATAAAATGCTGCGATAACCATTTAATCATCAATCATGTCGACAACCAAACCTGATACAATATGTCACACACATTGTATATGACATGTTTAAATGTTGTTTCATCTGACAGGGAACAATATACACAGCAGATGGCCGGAGAACAGTGTTGTGTGCACGTGTACTAATCCCTGCTAGTCATCAGTACACAGACATAGAGAATACCACCCGAGTGTCTTTTGATATCAAATATATCACAACGAGTTGATAAAGTTACAAATATCCGAGGCTTGCCGAGGATACTTTTACTTTTATCAACGAGTGTTGATATATTTGATATCAGTAGACACGAGGGTGAGATTCTATTTATCATCACAAATCAGTCTTCATTAGTTTTCAATGAAAAATGAAAAATCTCTAAACACAGTTCTCCCATTAGACTTGCAGTGCAGCGATATCATAGCACTGTGACGTCATCAAGCTCATGACGTCATAGCATTGTCAGCGTATTGCACAAAATCTACTGTCAAAACGATATCTCTTAGGAGATGTCGTTTGATCTCACACAAGCGATAACACAGTTTTGGATGATAAAATGTACACTACACATATTTAATCACTTAGAATGAATAAAATACGCATATCAAAACAAACCCTCGTAAGGGAGGTATTAAGATAACTCTCAGAAATCCTATTCAACTTAAGCAGAAATGTAACGATAATAACTAAAGGCGTTATTGTCAGAAATATAACACATGTCCATTTATAGGGCGTAGATTTTGCCAAGAGACATTCATGCTTGGAAACCAATCTGACATCAGATTAACACCTCCAACCCTACCAGCGCCGAAGTCAGCCATAGGACTAAACACATTCTTACATCACTATATATCCAAGTCTCATATAGTCAGTGCAGCACAAGAAGATACGGATCATTACACTAGGGGCGACATTATCACCCAGTGCGCTGGCATCATGGAGCGGAATACAGCATTGTCAAAGCAGATCAGAAACAGTTAGATATCGACCGGTCGATAATGCATTACATGGTCGCTAATACGAGTGACACAGTCTCCGAGTAAACGGGCACCTTGTCTCATGTGATGAAGTAGATGTCCCGGAAAAGGGGATTAAGGTCAAACCATTTACTATAAAGGGTGGGGTCTGGGGGTTTTCTTCTGAAAAATTTTTTCAAAGAAATGAAGATTTGTTATTTAAAAAATGTTGTGTTTCTTAGTTATACACATGAAATGTGAAAAACATATTCTGCTTTTTAATAAACATTGAATAAAACTTCCAGAAAGAAACAGGTAAAAAATAATTGAGGTTTTCCACACAATGTGTGGGTTTCCTGAAACAATTTTTAGCCTTCTATCACTGGAAACAAACTGTAAATCGCGAAGCACTGAATACAATCTGTTTCTAACACAGATCCCAGCCCTATTTTGAATATGAAATGACCGGTCCCTTATATAGCACCTGCCAATAACGCTCCATGTTTTCACCTCATTGGGAGATAATCGCTATGATCAGTGCGTCCAATTAAATGGTGTGACAACTAAAAGCAGGTGAAGATATACATTATGACCACTTTTCTAGAAAACAAAACAAAATGTCATTATGACCCAGACGGGCCAATGGTTATAAATCCTTGAAGAATTAAAGAAATGCTACAATTATACAGTGTTACTACTTACCATTTCCATTCCTTGCCCTTCTTCTTGCATAGGGTAACAATGGTCTCAATCAACAGACCAGCCAGAGCCGCAGACAGGTACCAGCACCATATCTTCCCCTTTACCATGTACAGTCTCCAGATGGCGATGAAGCCATGGGTGGCGAACAACAGCCTCACCAGCAGGGCGCGGACAATGGTCAAGAGTCGCATCGCTGGTCAGATGGTGGTATCCTTGCAGTAAACTGACTGAACTCCCGTCTCTTTCACACTTCCGGTCACAAATTTCGCTTGTTAATCCTCTTCAGTTTTGATGGCGTCACGTTATTCAAAATAATTTCAACTGGAATCAACACTTATTTCCTTTTCTGACTATTCCTGATAACTGTTACCTTCCTTTCACTGTTACCCTTCTTCAACCAATCGTTGAACTCCTGGTCCAGTTTTTTAAATGTTTGAACAAGGTGGTTTGTTTCAAGGAGTTTGACACTATGATCCAAATTAGTCCTTGGACATTGGACACAATAGAGGTCTCTACGTTCACTTTTGGTCAATTTTGGACAACGATGACCCTTTGTTCAGCAGTATCACCTGAGCTCCGCTATCCAACGTTTGCATGAATACTGCTTGTCTTTATAGTGCGATGTTGTCTGTAGATACTGGAGTTGAACAGATCGGTATTTGTGTACAAACCGTACAGTTCCCGTAGTTGTGTTCAACACTAAAAGTTCACAACACTGCATAAAGCCTGGATCCTCACTGCTATATCCTTGTTATCGATGAAGATTACGTGAAATGACGTTCACCGCTTCACAGCAACAATCCGTACAACCAAAGTCCTTTAAAGTAGCGGGGCTCGATGAACAACGAAACGCTTTTTTTCTACACAGGTACACCCTACGGCCGCAATGGTCGTTAATCACGTTGTTGCAAATACACAAGTGTCACGTGAATGATGTCAGCTGGTGTCATCCGAAGACCACGTCGCCTTAGAAGCGTTGTTCTCGTTCGTTCTCTATTCTATATTTGGCTTTGGAACATTTGCACCACAACGAACAACGACTGTCTAATAAGGACCAACCTTCTTGCAGTCGTGATGTGACGTGTACAGTGATATGACGGTTAATCTATTATTCCAATCTTGGCTTTCAAAATGAGTTGAAACGTCTTAAAAGGACGAGCGCCACAAACAATCAACGATGCCTCGTAGATTAACAGATCATTCAATAACAGTTTGTTTCCTTTCGTGTAGGTATTATCTAAGACATAATGCTTCTCACGACATCATCACATTGTACAGAGCCATGCTGTCGATGTTCATTGCACGTGTCGCCACCGTCACGTCACAAAGAGACCCGTTCTTCCATCAGAGACTCGCGTCTAGCGTCCAGATGAAGGCCAACCATTTCCTGAACATATTGAAGCGAAAAGTAGCTGAGTTAGACAAGGAACAACCAAAACGAAGTCATTTATGAAAATAATGAAACACACGTAATAAGCAATGCAGCAATGTTCACCAACGCGCTTTAAAGTAGCTGTTGGGAAACATTTTGTATAATAAATCGACATTTGTCGTTTTGTTTTCCCCTTTCTGTTTGAGGTAATTTGAAATCGATATGAATACACTATTGTACTTTATCTCCGTGCCGTTGTGGTCGATAGTCTATCCACAACACAGACCCGTCTTGCATGGCCTAATTCAGATGATACACAGATGTGCACTAATGTTGAGTGACGGAGTTGGGTTTAGTGCTACGTCAAACAGTATAAGCTTGCCGTCTAAATGGTGGATACTTAACGTGAGAGTTTGCTTTGTTTGTTGTTTAACGCCGCACTCAACAATATTCCAGTTATATGGCGGCAGTCTCTAAGTAATCGAGTGTGCACCAGATAATCAAGTGATCAACAGCATGATCATTAATCTACCCAGTTGGGATACGATGACATGTGTCAACCAAGTCAGCGTGACTGACCACCCGATCCCGTTAGTGGCCTTTTATTACAAGCATGCGTTGCTGAAGACCAACTGTAACCCGGATCTTCACGGGTCCCTCAAGAGAGACCCGTATGGCGCCATATCATTTGGTATGGTGCTAGAAATACCACGACATACCGTGTGCCTTTGAGACTGGGTATCTCCAGACTGATGCTAGTTTAATACCTCTAGCCCACAGAGATACAATGTCACAGTTCACCATGGATATTCATATTTTAACTCAGATTTTAGGTACATCGCATTAATATAGACTGGCTCATTAAATTACTTATTCTCTTATCCACTATCAATGTTTATTTAACTAGATTCGATTATTTGAATATTTCTTGTTTATTCCAGCTGCAACCTTTGTAATACATTGGTATTTTGGGTCTGTGAAATATGCTTAGTCAATGCAGGCATAGCCAATATCCCAGTTGAAAAAGTAACGATCTTTAGTGCTAGAATCATGCTACAATTTGGAACTCGAAAGTTCTGTGTAAGGTTGCATCACGCTGGACAAAACATAGTCTATATATATTTGTTTAATTGAACAATGATGTAACTGTTCGGAGAAGGTCAATTACGGTCAAATATTAGCTCAGTTTTAAATATTTGAAAACAAATTCTTACTTCGGTCTTTTTAACACATATTAGTCTTGCCTTAGCGCTTTGCGGGGGCGGTGGGGTAGCCTAGTGGTGAAATCGTTCGCTCGTCACGCTGAAAACCCGGGTTCGATTCCCCACATGGGTGAAGCCCATTTCTGGTGTCCCCCGCCGTGATATTGCTGGAATATTGCTAAAAGCGGCGTAAAAGTAAACTCACTCACTCACTCACTTAGCGCTTTGCGTTGTTATAGCCTAATGCATGCAATGAATGGAATAAATAGTCCCATTATCATTCAAATGACCATATAACGGCAGCGCCATAGAATAACCAGTCTCGATTACCTGCCATGGATTCCACTGGGCGTAAAGGACAACATAACGGTAAACATTATAAGAAGGGATCACTGAAAAGCAGTTATGACAAAAAGGATGAACATGCCCCTCAGACAATTTGAACAAAACTGCCAGTGTTTGTTGTCTGACTCCACACATCACCTGATAGGTTACTGTGACATGGGCGGATGGGTAGCCAAGTGGTTAAAGCGTTCGCTCGTCACGCCGAAGACCCGGGTTCGATTCCTCATATGGGTACAATGTGTGAAGCCCATTTCTGGTGTCCCCCGCCTTGATATTGCCGGAATATTGCTAAAAGCGGCGTAAAACTTAACTCACTCACTACTGTGACATAATGCATGGCCTCAGCAACGTTTTAAACTGTTTTGAGGTGGACATGAGATGTGTGCATTTCACGCATCAGTGACGAAATGATGTGAGATTCTATTCTGTGACTTGGACCATACGTTCATCATTTTTCGAAGATGAACTAGCGTTTGCATGTCTAAGACGGGTGTAGGATCGTATCATCACCATCATCACTTGTAAACAAATCGATAGAAATTGTTAGCCATAAAAAGTACATAAATGCGAGCTGCTTCAATCTTAATTTTTGCACATTCATGCTCAAAGTTTTAATCAAACAAATATCATATTTTGTAGATTGTACTGCAAAATGCCGGATCCTTAAATGAACACATGAACATATACTTTAAAACTTCAAATGACAGTAAAAGAACATAAAATTCTAACAGAACACAAATACATGAAAAATTGACAAAATAAAGGAATCAGAATCTTCCAAATTTCTGCGTACATGACCATCCCCTCCGCAGCCAGTGTAAGTAATCACACGTCTATCAGAAACAGAACGTGTTGTACCTTCTGATGATCGAAGACAATAGTCTATTAATAACATATTCTCAAGCACCGGTTGAAGCATGTCGGTTCTGATTGATAGCTTCATATCAATCAGATCACACCGACGGTTGGGATCCTATCTCGGATGATGCGCCTGGCAAGCAGCAAACCAGATTAGTCGGTCCTTAGTTAGTTATCCTGCTGGCGAAGTCGAGTCATGTGGACAGGATGAGAGCTTCATTGTTTCAGAAATTATTTAACCTAGATGTATTGTGGATGAAAGACGCCATCAATGACTTTCATCGCCACTGCTTTTATCGATGATGTACTGTGTATTGTATCGATCGTGATGACGGTCAGAACGCCTTCATCAATCCGGACCTTGTTATTCGTAACGGTTATTGTTTCTGTTTTTTCTTTGAGGGGTCTTAATGACTTTACGGTGTTTCTTTAATTCGGAAATCTGTCAACATGACTGTAGTTAAAGCAGGAAAATATCTTTCGACAACTTAATCGGCATTCTTGTCGCTCTTACCAATATCATTACCGTCATCATATTCATCATCATGGGATCATCGTGGTCTATGTCGTCATTGTTCAGTCACAAAATCATCTCCGCTGTTGTAAGAACATCGTCATATCGTCGCTATCATCAGAATGATCATCGCCGGTGTTAATAAATTCATCACCTTTATTGTATTTGTTTTTAATTAACAAATTAAATTTAATATAATAATTTTAAAAATTATTTTAAAGTACATACATAGGCTATAATGGTAACCATTTCACTTTAATTGTGAAATTACCTCCCCTTCGCCTGATCGAAAACGTGTTAGTTCGAAACATATGAACAAAGATGTTCTTGAACATGTCAGCTAGCTTCAAGCATAGACTTCAGCTGTTGCTCCCGAAATAAGCAGACCGTTGTAACAACATGAAATATCAGTCTACCATATGGTATTTAATATATTTCCCCAGAGACCTGGCTCCAGATCACATTAGCTCCCTTCTCCTAGCATCGATTGCAGTCTGAATGTTGATTGACGAACAGCGGCAGACATTGTTACCGCTGATCGTCATAAGCAGCCTGACATGGCTTCGATCATGGCCGAACATGTCACGATCAATGCATGCACACTTGACGCAATGTTATTCGCATTAGCAAATACCGGGTAAGCGTGGATATTAAGCCCCAAACCCAAGAGAAAACTATGTACATTACAGAGCAAACCAGCGAGATAACGCTTTCGTTGTAGGTTAATTGATTGCCTTTTTCACTGCTGTCTCAAGTTGACTAGTTGATGAATGTTTATGGGCGTCTAAATAGGACTGGTCCAGTTGGTTGCTGGTTGATTTTCTCCTAGATTGAGTGTCTAGTTAGTTGAGTGTCTAGTTTGTTGAACGTCTAGTCGGTGAAGTTTCTAGTTATCTGGGTGTCGAATTTCTTGAGTGTCTAGTTTGTTGAACGTCTGGTTGGTGAAGTTTCTAGTTATCTGGGTGTCGAATTTCTTGATTGTCCAATTTGTTGAACGTCTATGGTCGAGAGTCTAGTTAGCTGGGTGTCGAATTTCTTGAGTTTCTAGTTCGTTGAACGTCTAGTTGGTGAAGTTTCTAGTTATCTGGGTGTCGAATTTCTTGATTGTCCAATTTGTTGAACGTCTAATTGGTCGAGAGTCTAGTTAGCTGGGTGTCGAATTTCTTGAGTATCTAGTTTGTTGAACGTCTAGTTGGTGAAGTTTCTAGTTATCTGGGTGTCGAATTTCTTGATTGTCCAATTTGTTGAACGTCTAATTGGTCGAGAGTCTAGTTAGCTGGGTGTCGAATTTCTTGAGTGTTTAGTTTGTTGAACGTCTAGTTGGTGAAGTTTCTAGTTATCTGGGTGTCGAATTTCTTGATTGTCCAATTTGTTGAACGTCTAATTGGTCGAGAGTCTAGTTAGCTGGGTGTCGAATTTCTTGAGTGTCTAGTTTGTTGAACGTCTAGTTGGTGAAGTTTCTAGTTATCTGGGTGTCGAATTTCTTGATTGTCCAATTTGTTGAACGTCTAATTGGTCGAGAGTCTAGTTAGCTGGGTGTCGAATTTCTTGAGTGTCTAGTTTGTTAAACGTCTAATTGGTGAAGTTTCTAGTTATCTGGGTGTCGAATTTCTTGATTGTCCAATTTGTTGAACTTCTAATTGGTCGAGAGTCTAGTTAGCTGGGTGTCGAATTTCTTGATTGTCCAATTTGTTGAACGTCTAGTTGGTTGAGTATCTATTCAGTTGGGTGTGGAATTTTTGGTTTGTCTAGTTTGTGGAACGTCTAGTTTATGAAGTGACCAGTTAGTTGGATGTCGAATTTCTTGATTGTCCAGTTTGTTGAACGCCTAGTTGGGTGTGTATTTTATTGTTTCAGTTTAATTGCTTGACAGAATAACGAATTGACTGTCTGTCCAGCTTTGTGGATTGGTTGACAGTCTCGCTGGTTGACTTGCTAATCAACTGTTTTTCTAGTTTGATTGTTTTAAGGTTAGGAAAACAGAAGCTCGCACAATCACGCACACACGTTCCCCAGGAATTGGCATCACACCTTCAATATGCCACCCATCATGATGTACTACTTTCAAACTTTCAAAAAATAGTTTTTTTCCGGAATGACACGAGTTACTCGGAATGATTCAGACATTTTTTTCTGTTTGACGTAACGGTGTGAGCATGCCGCGAAAACACCAACGCCGGAAATGACGTCATTTCGACACATTCCGATCAGATAAGCTTATCCCGCTGTCTTCGGCAAAGCCCTCACAAAGTTTATCGTAGCAACAGGTACGAACTAAATTCGTGGGAGGTTAGCAAATGAGTTTAATTAGCGTTGTCAGTCACTGTTCGACCCACCCAGTTCCAATTCAAATATTGAAACGGCATGTCTTTTATCTTATCAGCTACATTCCCCACCTAATCCATACCACACACCCAAACCTCTTTACATACAGAAATTGGCTGAGTGAGTATGGTTTTACGCCGCTTTCAGCGATAATCCAGAAATATCATGTCGGGGGACACCAGAAATGGGCTTCATACATTGTACCCATGTGGAGAATCGAACTAGGGTCTTCAGTGAAACGATCGATCTCTTTAACCATTAGGCTCCCCCATCACCCTACTACACACATGCAGAGGGGCGGTGGGGGTAGCCTAGTGGTTAAAGCGTTCATTCGTCACGCCGAGGACCCGTGTTCGAGACCCCACATGGGTAAAATGTGTGAAGCCCATTTCTTGTGTCCCCGCCGTGATATTGTTGGAATATTGCTAATAGCAATAAGTATAATAAGTAAAACTAAAACTCAATCACTATTACATACAGATAGGGTTCGTACGTGGTACACATTCGCAATCATCTGACTCTCGGAAATAAAGACACACTCTGGATACACTCCTCTACCCCTTCTCCTGACTTTGTTGTTGATATAACGTCAGACTGGTCCTGACACTCTTCCGCCTCATATTGTTATATGATTTGAATAGACAGAGCTCAGTTCATAATGCCACCTGGCATATGTCAATGTCCCGGATGTGCGTAGACCGGAAGTTCCGGTTGGGATGGCACTCGTTCCACGATTCACATCATGTGTAAATTTGTGTATAGATGAGCAAGATGGTGGCTTGGGACCCATGCAACGGTTGTAAATGGATCGCTGGCGTCGGAGAGAAGTTGGTTGCAAGACCGCATGCGAAGATGAAATTGCCCTGAGGAAACAATTTCTAGGGGTGACTATTGAGGGGGAAACAACTCATGCGATAGCGATAGTCTATTGCAACATACTATTGCGATAGCGATAGTCTAGGGGCTAGGGGAGGGGGGTAAGGATAGGGTCGGTCGGGTAACCTGAAACGGACATATATTTCTCTTTGGCCTTATGGTTAAAAGCGTTGGCTCACCACCCCGAAAAACCGGGTTGGATTCCCAACATGGGTACATTGTGTGAAGCCCATTTCTGATGTCCCTCTCCGTGGTATTGCTGGAATATTGCTAAAACCATACATACTAACTTTGAAATTATTAATTAAACAACAGAGTGTCGTCCTCCAGTAAGTAATCGGCAAATAATAAATCAAACATAACGTTTTGTTATGCAAAAATCAGTTGACCCTACATCGCATGTTATAATTTCGAAGTGAATAACCGTGTAACTATTCGAATAAGAACATCCTTGACCTAAATTATGCTTCTTAACTCGGTAGTAGAAATAAGCCTTATCGACCAAGGTTCCCCTTTTTAAAAGCACCGTCCTCCATGCATACATAAAACAGTCCTAATTCCAGACAATTATATTGCTCATCTACCAGACAGAAATACCAGTCTTCGCCATTAAGCTGTTACATCGAGTCTTGCTGCCGTAGACGAGTGGCAGGACCTAGCATCGCTTTGTCAGCTGCAGTCGATGTATATCGCCGGGCTTACATTGTAAACATTCGTCATCCGGTGAAAACAAACATGCATCTGTAGTCATGCTGAAGTGTTTGTGCAGATAAACACCTCGCTCTGGATGTATCAATAGCGCCTTTAAAAACACCCGCAGTCGAACAAACGTTGTCTGTTTGTGTTGACCAAATGTCCTATCATTTGTGACATACAGTTCACATATTTCTTAGATTGTGTTTGTCCGTCATCCGCCACACATGCTGACTGAATTGCTTCCATACGATCACAATCATTCAAGCCAAAGATAGGGATACAGCAAACATCAGCCTCAACCTGTTTGTTTGTTATTTAACATCTAAGTTTGGAGCTTGGTTTTATGCTGATGTCAGCAATATTCAAGGGCAAGGGCACTGGAAACAGGCTTCCCACGTTACCCTAATGAGGCTGAAGGGGTCGTTGTCGGCACAGGTACTACAGATATGTACCCCAGGTACGTTTCTGTATACAGATATGTACCCTCAACAATGTCAAAATACAGAAACGTACCCGGCACCTTGCACGGACGACGAGTCCATATTTCGCAACCAAAAACCGAAACTGTATGTAGTTGTTCCCGTTCAACTGATTGCAAATGGTATTGTGCTCCGCGAAATATTCGTTACCGTGTATGGTCGTTTCTTCATCTAATTCAACTGTATGACAGTTCCAATCAAGAAAACAATACACTGCGGAATGGAATCGTCCAAGGGTACGTTTCTGTATTCCGATTTTGGCTAGGGTACTTTTCTGTATACAGAAACGAACCTGGGGTACACATCTGTAGTACCCGTGCCGGCCATGACCCCTTCTGCATTAGGGGTTAGGAAAGCAGGTCTTCGCCGCTATTAACAGTTATGCCATTGATAGCACCACGTGTTGGCTTGTTCTTAGAGGTTCACCACGTTGGCAGAAACACGCGAGCTCTGTAATAAATCTGACAATTCAGGAATAATAATCCAGGGATTAAAAAAATCACCCACAGCAGTGGTATGGATACTGGCACGTCTAAGGGCCGTAACTCTGCAGTTCACCAACATCTAAAGTCCCCACTTTCGCTTGAGGCTATAGTTTAACAGAGATGGGATATAATTTATTCTACCATTACTTCAGTAAATACTGGATTGTGCTTGGGTAATTAAAGTCATTCAGAAGTATATTCAGTTTTAAATTAATTTATAATATCATAATTCCGTTATACTACCTCTAATTTCAAAACACAGTAGGTTTACCTCCTAAGGACTGCACAGTAGTGGTGGTCCGATTAATTGAAATAATCGAAGATTGGTCGCAATGACAAAACGACCAAGCAATCGATCATGCTTTCTCATAATCGAACACAAACAATTTTGGAACACTTGTTTGCAATAACAATATTTTTTTCAAAGGTTGATTTTGTCTGGGCATTGCATAAGCACTACAAGCTCGTTCCAAGTCATGATTAAGTTTATCTTAACAACACCAGGAAATGTATGTTCTTAACACACTAGATATCTTTTAAAGATGTGAAATTTTCAAATGCATTTTGTGCAATTTGCGGAAAAACCAGAGAACTACATGTTTTTTCTTTATTTTTGGTGCATTAACAAACATAACCAGGAAAACTTGATAAATGACGCTAACCAATTATTTTCGATGATGGATCGGTTGTAATGAACCAATCATCAATTATGAGATTTACATCAATTCCCAACACTACTGCACAGAATGTTACGGATATGTTTGTCTGTCAGTACCCAGCAAGCACGTGCACACGGGATCGTGTCACAACAAGTTTCATATATGGTGCTGTTTATTTTCGTACACAAGAAACTGCTGTAAGTCAGTATTTACACCCGAATTACAGTCGCGACGTGAAATTATACTTTTCTAACTTAGAGCTCTTCTGTAACTAGAAACAGATAACAATTCAACATTCGAAACGGCGGTCAACACGAACTCTACCTCATCATGACCGCCATTTTTACAGTACCGGGAACCGAGACAATTTCTGCCTTTGAGGCATGTTGAGGAAGGTAAGTTATAGTGTGTGGGCATTTCATTACACAGTTATAATAAACAACATAATGACTATATTCTTTGATCAGACGTTTGTCTTAACTTTCCTATGTTTGGGTCTGACCCGCAATGGGGGCCTGTGCTCAAGACGGCAGTAAACGAGTTACTTCCCTTCGAGTTGTGCTTTGGTACACAGCTTGTATAAGACAGGGTCTTGGGTGGATTACTGTGGAGTATAGTTGTATACGGTTATGTCAGTAGGGGTCTATTATTACTGTGACAAAAGAAACTAGCAATGAATTTTCAGTATATTTATCTTTTTATACATTTGAATGGAATTATTAAAGGGAAAAGAATAATAACTGAATTAACAATAGGTGACAAAAATATTTTCAAACTTTCGTACACACGTTCGATCTCACAAAACGTCTTAACTTCGTTATACCTTTTGAAGAAAATGGCATATTGTGTTGGTGTATGCTTACATTATTCCATAATATTAGGACCTAACTGATCGAAAGAAGAGCGACTGACAATATTTACCTGTTGTAATTAAATAAATGTCCCCAAATGAAATGCAGTGATGTTTTTTTCATATTATTTTTTCCATTACCTATAAGTACTCAGGTTTAAATGTCCCCAAATGAAATGCAGTGATGTTTTTTTCATATTATTTTTTCCATTACCTATAAGTACTCAGGTTTATGTAATTTAGAGGTAAGAAAAACAGGAGGAAACAGTCAAATGGCTGCAAGTATTATCGAGGAAATCAAAAGTACTTAAAGTACCCTTTCCTTTCTACATGCAGCTGGTTAAGGAATCCAGACCCAGAGCGACAGACAAAGGCTCCATCAATAACGTCATCGTGAAGTTGTCAGCGGTCCACGGAAATGATGCCTCATAACATTTATTTAGGACTTGTTTCTTGTCCAGCCCCAATACATTGCTGTATTATTGCCGAATGCCTTAATTGTTCCATGGAGAATAAACCTGTCAGAAACACGTGTTTTTGGTTTGTCTTTCTTTATGCCCAACCCCTATCTATCTGGCAACCCCTTCTATCATTGATAAGTACTGTTTTCAAATAACTTGAACCATGTGTGTATACCAAGGAAATAACGTTAATTTAGTATAATAATATATTGCTTATGCAACTTTGAAAATGCATTTCACAGATTGTTAAATTAATTGAATAAAAAAGTATTTATAGGATTTACGTTTTTAGTCAAGGGGATGCTTGCCTTAAAATAACCTTTGTTCAGCGATGGTCCCTCTAAACTTGTGTTCCCTTCTCATAAACTTGTAAGCAGAAAAAGGCGATGATGGTAAGTCTTTGTATGCACACAGGTCATATTGTTAAATTAATTGAATAAAAAAGTATTTATAGGATTTACGTTTTTAGTCAAGGGGATGCTTGCCTTAAAATAACCTTTGTTCAGCGATGGTCCCTCTAAACTTGTGTTCCCTTCCTCATAAACTTGTAAGCAGAGGCGATGATGGTAAGTCTTTGTATGCACACAGGTCATAAATCAGGTTCAATTCAGCAACGTTGGCAACGGAGAGTATTCGATGGTGACAACGTTCGGCATCTTAACCCCTGAGCGTTTCTATGTTACCATCCTGTCATATGGTAACCTCTATGTAGTATCCTGTCCAGCTTCTAGTAAACCAACACACACATAAACAAACCCCAAACCCCATCAAGAGATATTAACACTATGACAAGAGTGACTCCCGTAACATGAACACTGTGACTAGAGTGACTCCCGTAACATGAACACTGTGACTAGAGTGACTCCCGTAACATGAACACTGTGACTAGAGTGACTCCCGTAACATGAACACTATGACTAGAGTGACTCCTGTAACATGAACACTATGACTAGGGTGACTCTCGTAACATGAACACTATGACTAGAGTGACTCCGGTAACATGAACACTGTGACTAGAGTGACTCCCGTAACATGAACACTGTGACTAGAGTGACTCCCGTAACATGAACACTGTGACTAGAGTGACTCCGTAACATGAACACTATGACAAAGAGTGACTCCCGTAACATGAACACTATGACTAGAGTGACTCCCATGTAACTGACGAACACTGTGACTAGACAAGTGACTCCGTAACATGAACACTGTGACTAGAGTGACTCCCGTAACTCCCGTGAACACTCCCGTGACACTATGACTAGAGTGTGACTAGAGTGACTCCCGTAACATGAACACTGTGACTAGAGTGACTCCCGTAACATGAACACTGTGACTAGAGTGACTCCCGTAACATGAACACTATGACTAATAAGAGTGACTCCCGTAACATGAACACTGTGACTAGAGTGACTCCCGTAACATGAACACTATGACTAGAGTGACTCCCGTAACATGAACACTATGATAACTAGAGTGACTCCCGTAACATGAACACTATGACTAGAGTGACTCCCGTAACATGAACACTATGACTAGATTGACTCCCGTAACATGAACACTATTATAATAAGAGTGACTCCCGTAACATGAACACTGACTAGAGTGACTCCATAACATGAACCGATCTTCACGTGATCTTCTTGTTTCGTGAACAGAGCCCACGTTATCTAAATCTCCAACTTTAAACATGTTTCACGAGTTCAATGACTGGACGGTCGCCCGGAAACCAATAACATTTATCAGCGAAGTTTAATAGAATGTTGGCATTAACCTTCAAATCCCATTACACATCAAAGTATGTATCTTTACAGAATCAACACATTAATATGGGTTTACACACATACATGCAAGCCCCCGAGTGAGAGTGTGGAATTATTTAAGATCATGTTGTATAACTGTCCTATAAAGATCCATCTATACTGCTGATATAGGTGAACCAACTGAGCCCGACTGACGCCCCCGAAGTGTTAATTATCGCTTGAGTGCAGTTTGGCGATAGATCACCCACAAAACAAATCCTGTTGGAATGTAGATAAGGAATTGTATATATTTTCGGCGACTGTTTGTGTTTAACACCAGTTTTATGATGCCACCGGAAATCTGATAACAGGTTGATAACCTGTTTTACGTATGTAAAATTAATATATAACTGCTTGCATATTGTATGCAAATGTATTTGAACTTCTTCATGATATTTATTTTCTTAAAGTATTATTTAAACACGATGTTCACTCGGAAAATGTATAACAGTTGATTGTTACAGTTGCCTGGTTATTATTAGTAGGTTGTGACTGGTACGGTTATATTGAATTAGTCTGTAATAGCCTAGTGATAAAAGCGAGTAGTTGGATGGTTAACCGCTCGGCAAATATACGTTTACTTCTGAAATGTTTATGATTTATGTAATTGGGATTTCATTGTTAGTTTAATATTACAGGAAATAAGCAGTTGCGTGAAGAAAGTTACATGTATATTGTTTGGAGTAGAAATGACAATGACATGAAGAAATCAATCAAGAATGTAATGATTTGTACACTCAGACATACCTGTTACCCCAATTTGTCCTCACAATGTTTCCATTCATGATGCATATTGTACGCAATAATGTACTTCCGTAAAAGCATGGGACGATGTAATTTACGGTACGCCCACTCAGTTTTGCAGTACCCATATCCATGTCGAGATATCAGTACTTCGAGACAAAAAGTATCGATTTGAGCGCATAGTGACAAAAGGCTTCTGTCGAGACGATGACGTTGTCGCGACAGCCGATTCATGGGTTGCCCAATCAACTAAGGCGTCTTAACACGTCAAAACATTGATTATACAACAGTGTCGTTGAGTGGGTTCCATCCTACTGCTTAACTTAATACAATAACCAGTTCAGAATTTTGAGACCAATTCATTTAACTGGATACATAAATATTAATCAGTATTATTTGATACATCTAAGCACTTGTATATTGAAACACTACGCTCCTTATTATCCTTGCAAACATGTCGTGCAGAATGCTCTGTCGTACAGCGAGCACTGACAAACAGAAACCTGGAAATCGTGGAAATCTCAAAACGAGGCTCTGCCGCTAGAAATGTTTGGCGGTCTGGTACGGACTTGATATTATATCAATAACATTGTGCGTTACAGAACTACAGTGAATAAGCGCAAAAACACATAACAGGGGTAACCAGTGAGCCAGATGCATTGTGAATCATTTTACGACCTCATCAAACTGGGGCAGTCTGTGACGTCTTAGTTAAGGTCATGCTGCCTACTCCTCGCCATAAAATATAGAAATACGATGTTAGTAAAGTTTAAAATTAAAATTCATTTTAAAGTACCATTTTTATAAAACAAGGAATTGGAATTCAGTGTAACCATAGTTGTTTGTGATGTCTATTTTCACTTTCACACGAGAAATTCGGATCGGCTGAAAAGTAGGTCATTGTCTGAATAGGTTAATGAGACTATGTTTCCGTTTGCGTTGTACAACGTTGTGTCTGAAGCTCGCCAGAAACCCATGATTGTGGGTTCGAATCCGGTTTTTTGCGATGATGTATCTACGTTTGTCAGCACCATAGCCACAAGTTTCTGCAAATCGATAAACGTCTGAATCACGCATCACTTTCCTCCCAATGAAACTGACACGTTGTCCTATAACTGGAATGCTGTTCGCAGCGGTGTTAAACCCAACTCACTCACTCACTCTACCTAGTCCTTCGGATATTTGTCCAAACAGTGTCCGCAGTGTCTAATTTTCAAGAAAATAAGATTGAATAGTATCTGAAGAAAAGGTCAATTCATCAATCCAGAATGGTTAAAAAGTCCTAGCTGATAAACAACAAAATCTTGCCCCAAAGGAGCTTAGTTATTAACTTAACCCATCCACCGTAAACCCCAGTGTATGCAATACGCCAGTCTGTCACACAGACCCTGAAACAAATATACCCAACGCAGCCCATGCAAGTCCTGAATATGTGGCAAGCCTAGAATACCACAGTTTGAAAAAAGAAGAAAATCTCTGGGTTCCTTTTTCACATATTTCATCAACATAATTCAGAAGGGTTTTTTCTGTAAAATCTGTTCATTTCAGAGACAAGATGTCAGTCTAGAAATACGCAGCAAATTTCTGTATCCACTGACTCGGTGAAGATGTTTCGGATCTCATTTGGCTAATTCATTCTGGCATTTCACAGTTCATTACGCGGGCTTGAGTCGACGATCTGAGTGTTAAAGTGATGCGGTGCATACGGTTTCTTTCAACATATGATAGCAGTAATCCCATGGCCACTTTGTAGTATTGTACAACCAATGAACCAATTAGAAGCCAGTGATTCCAAGTGCAGGAGCTCCAAACAGTGCGTAACCTTTGTAAGTGAGGATTGTCTCACTTCATTGCCCCAATGTGCGTCATTGAAATTAAATACGCGTACCTTAAAAACACACGTCACTCAACACTCCACCGGAAAAATTCCTGCCTCAATGAAGGATGATATGATTGATAAAATCCGAAAGTTATAAAATTAGCGTAAACAGCAATGGTAATTGTATGATGTTATAAATAGATTTAAAGTTGTGTTGGTTAATTATGAAATTAAGAATAATTGCTTATTTTTTTAGGCTTTTAATGTTTGATCCGTGAGTTATGAGGAATTTTGCACATGGATGTGTTTTTATCACATAAAAATCTAGCATACATTATTATGCCCCGCAACGCATTTTGCGGAGGTTATTATTTTGGACTCCGACCGTCTGTCCGTACAAATTCCTCTTTTCCGGAGCAGAACATAAAAACCGTTCAATATTTCTTCACCAACCTTTGCACATAGATAGGTCTGGTGGTGAACTGGTGTCTTTTGGTAGTTTTGGATTTCTGAATAAAATATCTTTTTGTCTTTCCATGGCAACAACTTTGACTTCGACTGAAATTGGTGGTCGTGCTCTTTTCCGGAATAGAAATAAAAAACCTTTCAATGATCTCTTTCCACTTTGTGGGTATCCAAGAACCTAATGACAGAAATCGACAGTACCACTCTATATCAACATTACTGAGGAACGTCAAACCGTACATTT